TCTCACAATTTAAACAAAAACTTTAAATAATTAAGATTGTCAATATTTAAATAAATAATTTAAAATTTTTGTGTTAACATTAATGAAATTAAAAAATAAACATAAATTATATAAAGTAATTTATTATATTAAATTCTTATTACATAATTTTTTGTTGAAAATATTTATTAAATTTTTTAATTGCGTGTTTGAACATTATTTTAGTCAATTTATGTATTTATTTTTTAATTAATAAATAAATACATTTACATAATGAAAAATTTAAAACATAAATGAAAAAGTAAAAAGATATAGGGAAAATTACGGCCAAGGATTGCTGGAGGAATCTATTTATAGACAAATACCAAATGATTATAAAATTATGCTGCAATACCAAGGGGCTAAAATGTAATTAATTTTTAGTATGAAAAGACAAAACTACCCCTACATTTAAAAAAAACTCCTCAACCACCGACTGCGGAGCTCTGACGTTGGTGGTTGGACCACCTCACCGGATCAGCCATTTGAGCTCCAACAGCGGTAGCCGAACCATTGCCAGAGAATCCAAACCAGTGAGGACGCATACTTTTTTTTTTAAGGTGGCCAAGGTGGAGTTTGAACCTACATTCTCTTGGCCACCAAAAGGATTGTTAGCCACTAGGCTAACAAATCCTTTAAATAATATAATGTAAATTTTTATATATATACTTAACTTTATTTCCACTTTCCATACTAACATTTATTAAGAGTTCAATGGTTACTTGTTATTTTACAAATGGCCACTCCATATTAAATTTCTTCAACAAGTCTCCATTGATAATTTAACAAGTAATCATTTATGAAATGATAAGTCCTATTATATTTTAAAATTTGCTTTCACTTTCCATGCCAATACTTATCAAGAGCTCAAGGGTTACTTGTCATTTTACAAATGGCTACTTGTTAAATTAAGTAATGGATATGACAAGTCCCGTTACTTAATTTAACAAGTAGCCGTTTGTAAAATGACAAGTAACCCTTGAGCTCTTGATAAATATTGGCATGGAAAGTGGAAACAGAGTTTAGTATATATATATAAATTTGTATTATATAATTTAAAGGATTTATTAACCTAGTGGCTAACAATCCTTTTGGTGACCAAGAGGATGTGGGTTCAAACCCTACCTTGGCCACGTTAAAAAAAAAGTCTGACTCCCTCGCCGGTCTGATGATTGACACCGAAGCTTCGGCGGTGGTCCGGCTATTGCTGCCAAAGCTCAGATGGCCGATTCGATGATCGACACCAAAGCTTCGGCGGTGGTTCGGCTATTGTTGCCGAAGCTCAGATGGCCAGTCCAGCGGGGTGGTTCAACCACCGGCATCAAAGCTCCAGCGGCCAGTGGCTAAGGAGTTTTTTTTTTAAAATTAAGGGGTAGTTTTGTCTTTTCACACTAAAATTTAATTACGTTTTGGTCCCTTGGTGCTGCAGTATAATTTCAAAATAATTTAGTACTTGTCTGTAAATAGATTCCTCCAGCAATCCTTAGCTATAATTTTCCCAAAGCTATGTGTTATTTTTTTGGATAATTTGAATGATTTTTATACTATACACTACAAAAAAACAGCTGATTAGCGATGAAAAATTCCATCGCTAATTAGTGAAAATTCTATCGCCAAACGAATTAGCGACAGAATTAGCGATGGAATATTTCCGTCAGTAAAAACACCATCACTAATTCATTAGCGATGGAATTTGCAATTCTATCGCTAATTAGTGATGGAATTAGCGACGGAATTGCATTCCATCGCTAATTTCTAACGGAATAGCGATGAAAATTTTTCGTCACTAAATAAGAATAAAGTTATTTTGACTTTGTGACGGAACGCATTCCGTCGCTAATTTTCCAATGGGCTTATTCCGTCGTAAATTTATTAGGTGGACCAAAATATCATTGCCACGTCACCCGGTGGATCAATGCCACCTCACCACTACCTAATCACCTAGTGGACTAGTGCCACCTCACTGCCATATCACTGCTACATCCTACTCACCCAATGGACCAGTGGCACATCACCGCCACGTCATTTGTCACTGTCATGTCTAATATTATTACCTTTAATTATGCCTTGGCTAAGTTCAAACTTACAACCTCATATACTCCTATGTGCTTTTGTGTCCACCTTGTTGCTAGTTGAGCTGAAAGGAATCTTCAGTCTTAATTGATAAATTAAATATATAATACTTAACCACACACACATATATTAATAAATATATTATTTAAATTATTATTATTAAATATAGTATTTAAATTTACTTATTTTTTTAACATTATATTTATTTATTAATATGAAAAAATTAATTTATATATAATAATTATTTCTATTATATTTTATTTAAAAAAATTATTTTTGATAATAAATTTAATATTAAATTGAAAAATATTTTATTATCATTATATATTATATTATAATTTGTATCTATATAATATATAATATTTTAATTTTTATTTTATAATTATTTTATTTTATTTTTATTTTTAAATAAGAATAATTAGGTATACAATTTAAATTATTATTAATAATATACAAATAATTTAAAATAATAAATTATTTTAAATTATAATTTTTAAATTATTTATTTATAGCATAATAATAAATTATTAAATAAATTATATATAAATATATATTATAAATCATAAAATTAAATTAAAAATAATTAGCAACGGAATTATGACAAAGAGCTTTGTGATGGAATTTTCCATCACAAATTCTGTCACTAAATCAGCATAAAATATCCTAACCATTAGCGATGGAATTTTCCGTCGGCAAATTATTTCCAATGGATTAGCGACGAAATAATGATAAAATTTTAGTGACAAAAACTTCCATCACTAATTTAGCGATGCAATTAGCAATGAAAATTTATTCCGTCGCTAAATTCCATTGCTAATCCGCTGTTTTTTTGTAGTGATATATTTAAAGAGGAGTATTTTGGTCAAACATTTGTGACTTAATAGTTAACTAATAGTTGGATGGATATAAATAAAATATTAAAAATAGAGGGGATGCTTTTATTTAATAACTATTTATACTACGGAAGGTTCGCATAAGTTTTAAAAATAGAAGACGTGTCTATGATTAAAATAAAATAGAGGGGAATTATAGTATTTTAATCTAAAATATAATGGTTACTTGCTGTTTTCCAAAAGGTTGCTTGTTGAAAAGATATGCTCACTTGTCATTTTCTTCTAACATAATCGCTGGTTCAAATGCGTAGACTTGTTATTTTCGACCCACTTATTTGTCAAAATATAATGGTTACTTGCTTCGTTTTAAATGGTTTTCTCAACTATATTTCTTTCAACCATTACCTGACGAATGTAAAAGTTTGGATTGGGATCATGATGAGCACCCCCAAAAAGTAAGTGAAATAAGTGAGGTCTGAGGAATAATTATATATATACATATATATTTATATAGATATAAAAGTAACTGTTTAGTTGTTGAAATTTATGTCAATTTAGCACATTTTCCTACACTTCATATAACTTTTAATTCAAATGTGAATATTTTGGATACAAATATAAAAAAATGGGCCTCAGTTGAATTAAGGTTTGATGATAGGATTTATTGGCAATTTTTATAAAAATCTTGCCTTGATTTCATCTTTGAAAGATCTCATAGTTGTTTTTGCTGTTTTAGGTGACCTCTTATCAGCAATCATGCTAATGGAGAGCTAAATGAAGCTTAAGGATGAAGTTGGAAGCTAAGAAGTAAAAAAATAATTGACCAAAACTGAAGATTTAGCCCTATGTATCATATGTCATAGTGCACGAACATTGTGCCGTGGCACATGATATAGAGAAGGACAAAAGAATTCTAGTTGCACGTGTGTTGTGGTGCATGCACCATATTCCATAGCTCACATCACAAAAACTAATCCGCTATGGTGATAGTTAGCCATGGTGATTATGTAAAAAAAAGTGCTACTTTACGTTTTGAGCTGCTGAGCAAAAGATAGGTTACATGAGCTCATTTTCATGCCTCTAGTCATTCATTCACAACTCCCAGAGGTCTTAGGGCTCAAGTTCTACTAGGGTTTAGGATTCTTGAAGGAGATTAAGCTAATGATTGAAGATTTGAAGAGATTCAAGTGAATTTACTTCAGTTTTTCTATTTCTCTTCCTTTTTCTCTCTTTTTTATGACATGGGTGCTAAACATTTAAGTGTTTTAGCTTTTTCTTGAACACAAGTAACTAGTTTTCTTGTTCTAGGATTATTTCTAATCTTTGTATGGATTAAAACTTGAATATTCATCTCTTTTGATAGCTAATGATGTGTGTGTGTGTGTTTATTTTATCCCCCACTTAATGCTTCTATGTGTTTAATCATCATTTAGATTATTTTTTTACTTGGATTATATTGTGCTTGAGAAAGCTAATTTAGATATAGAACTTAGATAAAATAATAATGTTAGACTTGAAATTTACAAAGATAAATGGATAATTTTATTGGTAAGATAGAAATATTTTACTAACCCTTTATATAGTCAAATTAATATTAGAGCATCAAAATTGTTTTCATTAATTATTTTTCATGAGATTTAGAATTTTTAATGCTAGCAAGCAACAATACTTGATTTTGACTTGAGAAATCTTTTTCAAGTAAATTAAAATCTTAAACTAACACTTATTTTCATTAAAAATCTTGTTGAGAGGACTTAAATCAAGTTTTATAAAATAAAAAGGGGAGATATCGTCCTAGGTTGTTCCATTCTTTTGAATTCAAAGTTTCAACCAATTTTAGTTGCTTTAAAACACTTTTCATTTTTATTTTCATTACTTTTACACAAAATTCATACTTGATTTTGTTAAACCTAATCCAAATATTAATGGTAAATTTTAATTTTTGTTTGCACTAATTCTTGTGAGAATAATATCTTTGGAAAACTTTGTTGCTTATGATGACCCATGAGCTTGTAGTAACACTTGATGGCGAACATTAATTCAAAGTACAGTTCTATATATGATAATGAAATAGTTTGTTTATTACACACATATATGCAAACAAAAGGGAAATGAAACTATCAAATTACATACTCACAAGCTTTTAAAATGAAAGCGATGAGATTGTGTTGTTTGAATAAGAATACATGCGCTCATTAATTTTGGGGGTCCGAATCTGTTCCTTTTTCCTTTTTCCTGGTCCTTCGATATCGGATGGCGCTTGTGGTCCTGTGGTTTGGTGCAGGAACCTTGGTAAACATAGACTTCATCATAGGACCAATGAACATGGGTAGTGAGAAAAAGACGAGGATGGCGATTGGCGAGCCAAGAATTGCGTATGTTGTTAAAGAGTGGTCATGGATCATGAGAGATATCCACAAAGAAACGATGGATCCAAACATGAAGAGCATACCAAAGCAAAGCTTGAAAGGAACGTATCTCCAAAATGTTACAGATTGAGAACGAGAAGCAAGTATGGCTAGGAAGAAGATGGTCGAAAGGAGGGAGAAGGTGAGGGTGACAAGTGATGGGTTTGGAAAAGGTTTGAGTCCAAACTTGTTCATAAGGATATTTGAGTTTCCCTTGTTGTCGAAATTGCCTGCCACATTGGTAAAGGCCATCGAGGCAATCAAGGTGGACACCACAGAACATGCTTGTGAGGTTTGATTTAACCACTCTCTGTCACTTTTCATTTGTTCTTTGAAACTGTCTTGAAAGATTTCTTCGGCGGTTTTCCCATCATTGTTGTGCCTCTCCCAAAAATCAAAAGGCATTGATTTTTTCACAAACTGCATCACCATTTATATATGTACGCACCATTTTTATTTTAACATGATATGTTCAAAGTGATGAGTATGTTAATAGAAAATATAAACGCACCTCAAACCACTTGAATTCCTCAATCATGGTAGATGTTTGCCAATTTAGGTTGACCCCAAGCTTGGCTGCCAAGTGCAATGCTGTGTTTTCGTTTTCATCCACTTGTTTAAATGAACTTTTGTCAAGGTTTTCATTTTCACACAAAAATTGATATACCTTGGTCTGCCTCTTTTCTGCTGCTAGTAGAACTATGTTCTTCTTCTCATCATCATTCACATCTTTAACCATCAACGGAAATTTTTCCAGAATCTTGTCCACCATTTCCACCACACCATTCTTTACAGCAATCACTAAGGGTGTCTCAACTATTCTAGACCCTGGTTCTATCCAAATCATTCACAGTCCAAATCAAAAAAATTAGATAATATTATTGCAATTTGAAATAAGAAAATTCATGCAATCTAGCTCAATTCTCACTACATGTATACAATTAATTGAATTAATATTTCTAAAGAGTTTTCATTAACATAAAGATTGAAGGGAAAGCACAATCATCTGTTCTTATAATTTCATCTCGGTTTTGCTTTTAATCATTGTAGTTTTTTTTAAAATTTTTGGTCCTTATAATTTCAACAAGATTAGGTGGCGTTTAATTCTTAGGTTCCTATAGTTTCAGTCTTTTTAATATTTTTAGTCTTATAAGAACTAAAAACACTAAAAAAAAAACTACAGGGACTAAAACTAAAATATGTTAAAATTATGGGGACTAATAATTGCATTTTCCCAAAATTGAATTACAAAGTAGAAGGAAGGTCCACATAATTTCAAAAAATCATGAAAAATATGTGCATTCGATTTATATTTTAAAATAGGCTTGCATGTATTTTGAAAATAGAAATAAAGTTTGTGTAATTTAACAGAAAAATTCAAGAATATTTTTTCTAATTTTTTAAAGAAAGTATATATAATATCAACAAAAATTAGGAGATATTGATGTAATTTACTCAATATATTATCATTAAATGAAGGTCAATAATATTGATTAATTACTCTTCATAAAAGGTCAAGTTATATATATGTATATATATAATTAATAATGCTTTATGAACTAAAAGCTTGGAGTTTTCATGAACTTTTACCGTTGACCTCTTTTATGTTGGAGGAAGATGAAGCCGTCTCAGAGGGGCTTTTCGGTTTCATTTCTAACATATCATCAATGCAAGCATGCTGCAGAATTTGTTCTATTATTTGAAGAGACCATGTATGCTTCTCCTTCATTTTTGGTATCTCAAAGAACCATTTCACTAGGAATCCTAGATTAATATTTAAAAATGGTTAGTGCAACATTTTTTATACGTGGCAGCTGCCAAAACCATTGCAAGGTACAAAACCGTTGCCTACAATTATACAGGCAACTATTTTTTGGCCTAAAACTAGAACTTGCCAGCCTTGAGTAGAAATAATGACTCTAACCATTATTCCAAATTGACTTTTAGTTATTAAATGCAAAATATTATATAATTATTAAATTAATTTTTGAATTTATTTAATTAATAAAAATTAAGAAAATAAATAAATAAATAAAATTTTAAACAAAAATTATCAAAAATGAAAAAAATTTATTAGTTAAAAAACAAGCAACAATTCTTAAATGTTGTGAAAAAGACTACTAATAGGCAACATTTGTTTTTGGTTACCTGTTAGAATAGAAAATAATTTTGAAATTTTGCGATAAAAGTGTTTTTATTTTGGCAACAATTTTTATGTTATTTATCTAAATTTTATTTCAACACTTGAAAATTATTGCCTATTTTATTTTAAGAAACATTTTTCAAATGTTGCAAATTTTTATTATAAAAATTATTTCTTATGCTCACATTAGATAACACTTTAGAACCGTGACAAAAAAAAAAAACCGGTTGCCTAAAACAAAAAATGCTGTAGTGGGTTTATAATTATATGTAATTATATTAAAATATGTTCATTCAAAATTTTGTACTTAACCGATGAGTTTAACATATTAATATTATATATATATAGGATTCTTTTCTTAAATTTAAATTTCAATAGAGCTAGGACTATAATTACTTTTATTCAATAGTTTCACTACTAATTAGACGCTCATAAGAATATAGTTAACAACTCTTATATATTTTCACGTTGACATGGCTTACCTGCTAATGAAAGTGGTTGACTGAGGATAAATAGGGGCAATAGAAAGATTAAACCCAGCACCATCAGAATTAAAGAACAGACCATCAGCAGAGTTTGCAAACAGACCATCAGAATTAAAGCCCAGATTAACTCGGTTAAAGTTCTTTCACCATCCTCTTCATCATCATGATCAAAATAATCTAATAAGCCTGTAATTTCATGAAGCAACATTACTATAATAATCAATTATTATTTAAAATAACTTTTCCACGAAGAGTAATATCTTTTAAAATAAATAATTTTCTCCAACGAACTCTTCCTCTTACCAAATGATGATGGTGAGTTGGTGACCACACACTTTTTCGTTTAATTTTAATTTATAACCTTTAAAAATGTCTTTAGGTATTATAAAGACATGTAATTCTTAATAATTTTTTAGTATTATATATAACATCTCTACATATAATTCTTTATAAAAAAATCTTAATTTATAAAAACATAACTTTTCAGAAAACACGTCTCTTAATTTTAAAAATATTCCAACAAAATCATCACAGGTATATATACACATCATTCTCTTCTCTATTTATTATAGTATGAAGAATAAAAAAGAAAAAATAGCTAGGGGACCAGCTTGTAACTCATTCTTACCACATAATGCATTCACGAGGCAGTTGAACCATGGTTCGGGTTCAGGTAGTGATGCCACTTCTTCCTTCTTCGTGGCCTGCTTCTTCTTCTCAATAAAAAACCCTTCCAGAAAATTCCAAAAAAGCAAGCCACACGCATATTATTATTTTCATAATATAAAAGTGTTAAAGGGTAATTTGGCCTCTAAAATTATAGATCTAAGAGCACTTGAAACCCTAAACTCGTTTCTTGTGCAATGTTCCTTCTCAACTTTTGTAAATGGTATAATATAGCCCCTACTATTAAGAAAAATTAACCTTGACTGTTGGCTGGCTAGAAAAAAGACAGAAGATGACCAAGGAAAATTCTATAATTTTTGAAATCCTTTCCTATTATTTTTTAGTTCACTAATTAATAGTTAAAGTTAACTTTTGTTAACGGTAAGAACGACATTACACCATTCTCAAAAATTGAAGATGATATTGTACAAAAATGAGTTTAGGATTTCAAATGCTTATAAACCTATAGTTTAAGGGTCAAATTCTCATTTAATCTTGATATAAAACAAAATGAATAATAAGTAGGATGAATTTCCAGAGTACAAAAATATACTGATCTAGAAAGCCAAGCACTGCATTCACTACAAGGAAAATGGCACTTACAAGGATAAATGAGTTGAACAACGAAAGATCGACCAAGGAGATCAGTACTTTCGAAAGCTGAAGGCATTGTTGCTAAGAGATGGAGTGGAGACAACCCATCATTATTGCGCCTGAACAGCATCTCTTTCTCATAAAGGCGAACTATTTCGAGTGCCACATCTGCGAAATCAAATCAAAGCAAATCATGTGTACTTGAAGCAATTCATTCAAGAAAAATACAACCACATCTTTTATTTTATTTATTTTAATTACAGATACTTACTTTCTATTTTTAAAATCTATACAAGCCTTTCTTAAAATCATCAGTTACTAAATACAAACCTCTCTTCTACTTTTTAGAATTTCATTTCTACCCACTCAAGGGTTAGTTGACAGTTAAATGATATATGTTTGACCAAAATACTCTTCTTTTTAAATATAAATGTTATCTAAAAATAATTAAATTATGCAAAAAATAATGGATATATATTTGTACATTTTTAGTTCATATTTTAAATTTTTTTAGTTATACAATCTAATTTATGTATTATTTTAAAAAAAATTAAATTAATAAATTGACTAAAATAATATTTCAAACATGTATATAAAAAATTAATAAAATAAGAATTTAATATAATAAGAGATAAATTAGTCAACATAATGTATTTTTATTTTCTATCAATTTTATAACTTTGATATGATATTTTAAAAAATTTTATTCAAATAAAGTCATACTTAATTATTTAAATTTCTTTAAATGAGATAGAGAGTAGACAATTAAATTATGGGGGGAAAATTAATAATTTTAAATATTTTACATAATTACAAATAAAAAATTAAATAAGTTTTAAAATTGGACTACAAGATAAGTTTTAAAATTAGAAAAGAGGTCTCTGTAATTTAAATAAAATAGAAAGGACGCCAGTGTAGTTTAGCCGGTTCATTAATATACGTACGAGAAAAGAGGAACATTAATTTGGACTTAATTACCTAAATGCCCATCTGCAATGGCACAGTGAAGAATGGTGTCATCGTTGTCCCTTATACAGTGAGAAAAGTCGGTTGAAGAAACTCCGGGGCCCTCCGTGTACAGATAATGAAGCCAAAGAAAAGCTTTTTTCCTGCCGGAGAGAGCCGCAAGGAAGAGAGGTGTCTCGCCGGCCATGTTGCGGCTGGCAATTAAGGAAGGTTCTGCCTCACCGATCTTCTTACACATTTTAGCATTCCCCATTGAAGCTGCTAAATGCAGAGGAGTGTCCTTCCTGTGATTCTCGGCCCCTAGGACAAGCTTCTTGTCATCGCCATTTTCATCCACTGTTAACAATGGCGGCGACCTTTTAGCCCTGTCATTAGTTCTCCTTCCACAAACCATGTCCACCATCTTTTCCACCTCCTTTACTTCCTCACTAGACACTGCCATGTGTAATACGGTGTCTCCTGTCTCTATTAACTGGACCCTCCGAAGTTCCTTCTTCTTGTACATTTTACGCACTTCTGACCACTTGCGATTCCTGGCAAAACCAAGTAACTTCTGTTCCTCTCCACTAAGCTCGACCGTACTCATTGTTGTCTCCTACACAGTTGGCTTCAGTAATGGATTAATTAAGATTATTCCAGAAAATAGGATCAAGATCATGGACTCATGAAGCTATAGATTTAAGTGTGGATCATATCTTATGGGGAATATGATATGGATCAAGGCCTAAAAGACTTTTGGATCATCAATCCAGAATTAAATTAAAACCCTAATCATCATCTTCATATAAATGTATGCACAGATTATTGATTTTCAATTTCATATAAATGAGAAACATATATCAAAGCTATAAATATATGGAAACTGGACCAGATCAAACAAGAATTCCGAGTACAAAATGTCACCATGACACCCAAAAGAAGCTAAGCTAGTAAGAAATGCGAAGAAGAAGATCAAGATGGATCGGATGAAGAACTCAAAGATAGAGCCTTACCAAAGAAATAGCTGAATCAGATTGTGACTTCACCAACCAGATCTTAAAGAACTAGGGATGAGTAGAAATACCAGGTGGAGAAGACAGAGAAACAAGTGAAGAGAGCCTATTAAATTATATAGAAAATAAATAAGTAGATCATCATTCATCCTTCCCATGAGCTGCGTTTTAAATTATATATAATATATAACAAACACATCACAAAACGCAAAACAATATGACCAATTCCTTCTTGGAAGTTTTTCCCTAAATTTTATAAAATTGAGAAATAATTTTAAAAACTTTTGGTCAACCATTTCTCCTTGAATCGAGCTATCATTTCTATTTTTTTATTTTAATTAAACCTAGGAATTGGAGTTGATTTTTCTTTTTAAAAATTATTATAAATTTTATATTTAATTTTAGTTCTTTGTTCTTTTGTTAGCGTTCTTTCTTTATTAACTAGCCAATGTCACCGGTGTTTCTATTATACATGCCAATGGTGTGTTAAATATATGGGGAAAATTAAACAATTAATTTGGTCCCTGTAGTTTACTTTGTCGGATGTGGAAATTAGTGCCTAGACTTTAATCTGTTAATTTCTAATGGAGTCGCTTAAGTTTGGGAAAGCCTATAACTTTCATGTTATAGTTCAGGAATATAACTTCTCTTTTTTTTTTTTTAATTGAACACATCTCTTCAGCTTTTGTGTAAGGACTTTGTTCATTTGTCCGTTCAATAACAAGGAAGGACATAGTTATCTTTTTTTTTTTTTTATCATTTCTGATTTATATGTTTAAACGCTTCAAAATATTTCTAAGACTAGGAAATTTGAAAACAATTACCACATTCACAAAATATATAGAATTTAGATAAATATATAATATCTCATTCGAACCTTACTATTAAAACATATTATAAAATTCAAAGGTATTAAAAAATACATCTTACATTTAATTGCCACATGTGGCTAGATCACGTGGTAAAGATAGGATGGGCGTAACTTGTAAGTATGGGTAGAGACAAGGGTTCAAAATTAAACCCTCCTAATGTATTAAAATCATTGGACATTTGAACCCGTAGAAATGTTGACTTAAGGTTTAATAGTTATAACCTGGACTGTATATGTTGATTAAAAAAAAAAAGTGAACTGTATATGATTAACTTAATTATCTTAATATATTTTAATTAAGAAAAATCTATATATTTATTCTCATACACTTAAAGTGCTTATTTTTAATTAAATCTCGACATGATTTTTTTATAATTTATTCAATAAAAAACACTTTTTCTTTGATATTATTTAACACATTAAAATATAATTTTCTTGAATAAAAATTTATTAAGTATATAAGGCTAAGTACCTAAGCCTTACCCTAATAATTTTACACTAATTATTATAAATAATAAGAAAAATTGATGGAAATTGATTTTAAAGAAAAACTAACAATGAAGTTAATTTGGAACATAAATTGAATAAAAACCTTGGTGGTGGACAATCTTTAAGTACCTTTATTTAATCTTCAAACATTAACATTATTAGTTTTAAGTGTTATTATTATTATTATTATATTTTGTGATGAAACTAATGGTGTTAAGGTTAAAAGACTAAAAAAATACTTTATGAAATTAAAGGATTAAAATAAAATTATGTAAAGTTAAAAGACTAAATCTATCTTTTAGCTTTGTGAAAACTATTTTTTTTCATATGATAATAAAAAAATTAATTTTTTTTTGTTAGAAAGCATTATATAAAAAAATATTTATTTAACAAAAATACAATTTAGCCCATTAACCTACTACCATATAGCTTTATTTTTCCCACTTCTTTTGACCTACCAACAACGCACCAAGTGAAAGAGATTTATATTAATTTCTTTTTGGGCCAAGAGATTTGTATTTCTTTTTTGTTAGAACAGTGGGCTGAAAGCCCAAAAGGAAGACTTATATTACTTTAATATGACTTGAAAAAGAAACAAGTAAATTAACTTGCCCCGGAAAAATGAGGGAGAGAAGGATATTATTGGTCAAAAAAAAAAAACAAGCAATGGTCCAAGGTGTTTTACAATAAAAAATAAGACTTATTTTACTAGTGTATTAATATGACTTATATACTCTCTACGTTAAAAAAATATAAAATATTTTTTGAGAAGTTAGATATTAAAAATATAAAATATTTTTAACATTTTAAGGTGTAATTACTGTATTTTTTTTTTTCTAAAAATGCATTTAATAAATAAATTATTTATATTTATTTTAAAGTAAAATATCCTATTAAATAAATGTAAATATAAAAAGATGATGTCATTTTAAAAATAGTAATAATATATGATCAAAATGTTACCTTGGAGCACATGAGTTTTTTTTTTTTTTTTGTACAGTCTGGTACTAAATGTGGGCACCCCTCTAAGTAGAAATTTATATTTCAATTTGTCACATTATGAGAAACCAACCCTTCTGCTAGATTCAACTCCTATTAGTGTAGAGATGATTTTATATGGCTAATATATTAGTTGGCAAATAATTATCATGTTTCATGGTATCTCATATCAATATTAATACAGAAAACGAATAAATACTTTATAAAATACTACGTACCTACTCGAGTTATTAAAAAAACTACTACAGAACATTTACAAATATATTATTCTTCTGCTATCGTCTATGTGACACCAAGATGACTTGGTTGTAGAAATTTGTTTGTTTCAAATTAAACATTTAGAATTGCATGTGAAAAATAATAAACAGATCCAAATGGGTAATAAATAATTTGTGAAAGTCTTATTTAACCAACTTAACTTTTATAGTAAAAGTTACATAATCTAGCTCTGATTTTATTTGTTAAATTCTCCATAACTTCTCATGATTAAATTAAAGTTTAATTTGTTGGACATTGCTTTAGATGTATCAAAATTTACTATATATTTTGTTAAGATTTTTTGGCCAATTTTTTTTTTTAGACTGCTATGCTCCTACAAAATACATTCTGACTTGACAAGATCTAATATACTAATCAAGTATTAATTATTAAATAATCTATTGCTTTTAATTTCTTGGTCAAGAATACTTATCTTTAATTGGAGTATATGCGATACATATCGCTGCCATTTCATTGTTGCTGGCCGAAACCCATACCAATGCATTGTTAAGGTACCGATGATTTTTGTTTTGGCCATCAACCGCGATGGATTTTTTGTTTATGATAGATCACCTAACGGATTTATTTAATTGTGCAAAATTTAAAATATGTCATTATTTAATTAAATCAATCGAGAAATTAATCACAAGTTGATGGGTCATGGGTATAACGTATACAATTTAAATTAATGACCAGCTATATGAAACAAATTAAAATTATAGAAAAATAGTGTATGCATTGAATGTAGCTGACATTATATCAAATGTAAATTAATGCTATGTCTGGATACATATGAATTTAAATTTAGATTTTAATTTGAGTCAAATTCATTATTTAGATCATTAAAAATGTAAATTCAAATCCAAGTCCTATCTTAATTTTTTTTGTAATTTAAAATCCTTTTTATATCTTTATTATTTCAAATCTCAACTCAATTTCTTTTGTAATGTGACCCAAATTTACAAAGGCTTCCTCAACCCGCCAATTGTAATTGGATCGAATTGTCGAAGTTGATGAAAACAAGCTACTTCTACCAAGACCGGACAGTTGACTTCTACCAAGACCGGACAGATGGCCATGATCGGGATGAGATGACCACTCCCATCGGGACCAGATTTGTAATAGTCCAAAAATAAAAATAAAAAATAAAAAAATTAATTAATTAAAATTAATTAATATTTTTAATAATAATTATATTAATTTTGGGAACATGTTTAGTAAGGAGAAGAGTTGGTTTAGCGGCTGTTATGAAACCACTTATTCAATAGGTCCCAAGTTTGAACCATTTCCGGAGAAGTTTTATTTCTTTTGCTTCGGCCTATAAAAAATTACCATTTTTGCCCTTAGAACAATAATGAATACAATAAAATATGTTTAAGACATAGTACACGTGTACTCCTCCAACAAAACTGAGTCGGTTTACAGAGAAGAGAGAGAGAGAAATAAAAATCTGCTTGGCTCACTGTTCTACTCATCGTCAACTTCTCAGAAACCTTGGAGAGAGAGTGTGTCCTGATCTCCAGTCTCTTCTGTTTGTGCTACCTTCCGCCGCTTTTCTCCATCATCACATCGTCGCTGGCGTAGGTCTCAAGCCAACCACAAGTTCACTGCTGTTCCTTTTCCTCTATTTCTTCGGTGTGGATTCACTCAAGCTTTCCACCATTGTTTTCCCTGTCACATTTGCGCCGTTGGTGTGTCAGGAGTTGAGTCGTCGAAGCTGGAAGGTTCAGCTCTGAGTCCTTCTCTCCCTAATTCATTTGTGAGCTTCATCATCTTCTTCACTTCTCCGTGCTCCCTGTTTCTATTGCTCTCTCCATTTGCTACGCTGTTCATGTTGTTCTGGGTTAAGAAGTCACAATGCATCAAAACTGGGGGGCTTGTTGCTGTGAGCTTGTGTTGGTGCTGTGGAATCAGTCTTCTTCCTTTGTTTTGCGTGGTGACGGTGCTGCTTTTCCTCTCCCCTGTTCAGCCATAAACTCCAATATCTTGTCTTTTTTCTCTCAGTCGTTGGCTTTGATAAGGTGAGGGATCTCCATGTTTCATTTTTCTCTTAGTCTGCACGTATGCGATTGGTTTATTGAAGTTGCAAAATTTATGTCCTCTATTGTTGCTGCTGCCGTGCTGTTGTAAGGGGGAGAAGACTCAAATTTGAGATAGAAACCTATTTTAAAGCTTGATAATAATAATAATAATAATAATACATATATATATATATATGTACGTATATGGGTTATAATTTTGAAGCTAAATAGATCTTATTTGGATTGATTTATGTTAAAGAAATTATTAAGGAAAGATTGGAAGAGAATGGCTTAGATATATAACTTAAATGTTGGCACCTATGAGATGCTTGTTAAAATGCTTGTAAGAAGGAAATAGAATGGCATGACTAAAGCTTTATGGAGGAAGTCATAAGAATAAATGATAATGCTTGGACTAACTTTAAATTA